TGAAGGCCACAAAGGATCGTTGGGATTATCCCTCTGACCTTCTGCATTACATGCTGCAGAGAGGATGGGCAGGACCCTCTGCTCCTGGGCTATAAATGTTTTCATGTGCCTGGAGATATATGAACAGGAGAGCGGCAGGTGAAGACGTCACATCAGTGTGGTAAAAAAGAGTTCTAAAATCACCTTATTGTTGGATAAAACTAAGGTGTGTCTTAATGAGTGATCCACATAGCAGGTCTTATTCATCCCTCATTGACCAAAAAGCTCCCTACCTTTATTATAGATCTCTATCTATTGCTTCTGCTCAGTAGTCCATTACTGAGACACTCATCTAGTGTGATTCTCTGCAGAAACTACGAAATCTTGACACTTGCTTCTCTTTTGATTGTTTTTAATGTTCACTCGTTCAATTTGAGAAAGCACTTCTGCATTTGCACAAGATGAAGTGAGAAATTTGTTAAAAGAGAGGGTGACATGAGTTTGTTGGAAAGTGGAGTTTCTTCTGTTTCATTTCCACAGGTGGCAATGGCGGCTGGAACCCTATGGGCTGCCAAGTGGATGCAGAGTCCAATGAAAACGAGACAGTTTGCTTATGCAACCACCTCACACACTTCGGGGTCCTAATGGTAGGCAAACTCACTGTTCACTAAGTTATCTTTCCTAGGAACTGCAATGCAGTTTTTGTCTTGGATCAAGACAACTCTTTTTTAATTTGGGTTATTCCTTTTGCACATAATTTTTAATAATAATACATCATTTTCCCCCTTATTGTCATAAAGTTATCTTTTCATAACACAACAGCTAGTAAAAAGGATTCAGGAATGAGGTAATGAATGAAGTTAGTAATAAAAGTATATTAATAATAATAACAATATATTCTTTACAGGTGGATAAATACTATAAAATAAAAAGTAAAATGTGCCCATAAGTGTATTCTAAATTTTGAAAATACTGTGCCACAAAAGACCTGGGGTTGAGTCTTCTGAGTGATACCAAAATACAAATAGCATATTATAACATCCAACTTCAAAGCCGGGACATGGCTGGGTGAAAATCAGGGATGGTAAAACCAAAGCCCAGTGCTAACACTTCCACTAGCAAAACAGGAAACATTGATCCTAAGTCCTAAGGTGCAGGGGGTCCCTGTCATTGCCCGTAACAATATAATCTGACAAAAATGACCTACAGCTGAAACAGGAGGATGTAACAAGAGGGAGGTGAATGAGAAACAAATCTAGGCAGATCTGACATTTCAAGATCAGGAAAGTGGGAAATTGTTTGCAGAAAAATAAAAAAGTAGGAGAAAAAGTTGAGGTGCTGTTTTCAGAACAAAAAAAAAAAAGAGAGAGAAACTGATATTGTCAGGGAAAACAGTCTGGGAAAGCAAAATGTTCTACAGTCGGTTAAACTGCTAATAAGGATGAAAAGTCAAAGGAGCACAATAATTCCCTTTCATTCTAACATTCAAGAGGCTGCATTGTCCCTCACAAATTTAGATTGCAAATCTGACAAGATTTATATTTATCTAATGTCAAAAAGTATAAAGCAATACTTTCTTTCATGAAATGTGTAAACCTGTATTTGCTGTTTTCTTATAAATGGCTTTAATCAGCTTTGGGAATGCCTTTCACTACAGCCTTCTCCCAGAAAAAGTCTGCTCAGTGAGGGCTGGTACAAAATGAGTAAATCATACTTTATCAGAGCCTTAAGCAATGCCTCCAGTCTGGGTGGCTGAGATAGGTAGAGCATAGCCTATCAGGGAGAAGAAAGAGGTAACCATATAGAGGACTTCAGCCCCAGCAGCATTAATTCCTCTAGCATTCAGGTGCCTCCAGCAATTTGCACATGTGAATTGTTCTTGAGAGAAAAAAAATCCCAACATGAAAAAGATGGAATACTGCTATCTTTTCTTAACATTTGATGATTTTTTTTTATGCTCATTAATGGGCTGAAACATTTCTTTCCATCTGAAATTAACGTTCTTCGTCTTCTAAAATGTACCTGCAGAAAAGATGTTTGCTCCTAATCACAGCAGTGCTCCTCATGGATGTATTTGGTTTTTAATTTAACTTGTTGCAGTGACAGATAGGACTTAACCACTCAAGGGAGCCATATGTACTGACTTTTCCAGCTTTGGCCTTCCAGACCCTTCTTAATAGAGCTACTCTCTTCACGTCATGCCCAAATATGTAGATATGAAAAAGCCACAAGTTTTTTGTCTTTTTTGCAAGCTAAATTGTGGTCTTGTTTCACTTTTCATCCTTGAGGGAGGAAAAAAAAGGGCTTTCTTTAGGATATATTCAATGAGTCCCTTCTCTTCCCTGAATGCTTTTGTGGCAGTAGGAAATAAGGCAGTTCTTTGAATTTGGGCTGTGTTCCAGTAGATTTTTACAGAGTTTTGACCCTTCTAATTCCTTTCCCATTTTAATAATCTTTTCTGACTTTAATTTAGATATTACATTTTTTTCAAATAACACTCTCCTTATATATATAAACTGCCATATAAGGTTGGGATAGAGTGTATAAAATCTGCCCCTTCCTTTCCTACAAAGAATGGCAAGTTTTGTAGCATTTTAGTCATTTCTTTTTGCTAGATGGTTTTGCTAGGGACAACAGTGACACTGGCTGTAGAATGGACACCATTATGTGTTAGTATTTGCTCACATTTACTCCACAGTGATATAGATCCAAACATTCTCATTTTTTCTTGTCCTTAAAAAAGGAAATGACACTGGCATTTATTCTCAGACGGTACTATGTGGCAATTACAGTTGGACAGAAAACTGGAAAAAAAATCCTCAGACTGTTCCTGCTTCATTTCCAATTTTTTTTTTTAAATGTTGTCTTTGTCACTATTTTTCTGACCAATTCTATTTATAACTGCAGTTTGCATGTCAAAACAGACCATAAAACCAAAAAGCGCTATCTTGCCCTTCATTTCACCCATAGATGAGTAGCTACGTTCACTCTTACAAATTAATAATGAGATGTCAGAAACTCCCCAGAATGTTGCAGATTTCAATATGAATACTTTTAAATTACATTTTCCTACATCTTACATCTTCTTAAAGAGAGTTGTCTGTAGGAAACGGAACTGAAAAGGCGAGATTTTTCCAGAGAAGGATATTTGAATTCCTGGTATTGAATTATAAGGATCAGTATGAGTATCTGTCTATCTGCTGATCCCAGCAGTTATAATACTTAAAGCACAATGTTTTGAAGAACTATGGGAAGGAAGTGAGAGGTGTAACGGCTATAGACTAAGTATACTCTGTAAACATGAACCCTAATGTCAGGGTTATAGTGGTATTGCCAAAATACTTTTGAGTTTTCCTTGACTAATTACCAAGAAAGTGTTGTGCTCATGCAAAAGGTGTTTGCTGTGGCTGATGCCTCTTCCTCCTCTCTCATGTAGGACCTTCAGAGATCTGTTACAGAAATAGACTCACGGAATACCAAGGTCCTCACCTTTATCACTTACATAGGCTGTGGGATATCTGCTATATTTTCAGCTGCAACTCTTCTGACATATATTGCATTTGAGTAAGTATTAGTTCTGTGAAAACCATCACAAAGGAAGTACCTGGATGTGATGAATAAAATAAATTAGTTCTGTGGTTAGTGTGGTTTATTTGTCTAGGAAGGGAAATCTATGTTTAAAGGAAAAAAAAAAAAAACCACCTGCAAAATCATGGTCACAATGTTACAAGTGGAAATTTTTTTTGAGGGGATGTAAGCTCAGACACTTTCCTCCTGTTTACAATGTGTTGTGCTGCTCAGGCCTGGGAATAAGGCTAATGTCTCTCAAAAATTTCTCCTTTGGGAGTACAGTATCCTTTAGATTCTGAAAAGATATGTAATATTTTAAAATCCACAAACATGCATTTTGTAAAAACAAACCAAAACTTGCCTGTGTGAGCATAACAAGTCCAAGAGAAATTTCCAATTAGAGCAATTACATTCTAGAGTCTTTAAAGAAGTGGGAAGAGAAATTAAATGAAAATAAATTGTGAAGCGTTACAATTTCAACAGCAGTCCTACTGAAATGTGAAAGTGACTCAAGGGAATACAAAAGTTTTGAAGTGATACAGTTCTGTGAACAGTGAAAAGAGAAAATGAAGTCATGTCAACACAAAGGAACCATTCTGTCTGTAGCAGGACAGAGTAGCTTCTAAAGAAGGATCGTTCGCTTGGGGTGGGTGGAAAGGGGGTTTTCGAGTTCTAATCATCTCCAATGATTGCATTCCTATTGCATTACCTGTGATATAGTGTTCTGCTCCAAGAAGGCAGAAGTTGTTAGCATGCCCCTTAGTTCATACATTTCAAAGTGTTATCAGTTAAAAAAGAAAATTGGCTTGATCTCCAGTCTTCCTAAGATCCTATTTAAAAAATGAAACAACAGACAAAACAACAAAAAATAGAAAACAACATACACTGGACAATATATTCCAAAAGTTAAGCAAAGTTTTACATATAAAATGATCAGAAGTGAGCTTCTGGACATCTGTGTTTTGAAAATTTTCTTTTAATTTTCTTTAGTTTTCATTTAAAGTATGAAATACGTTGTAATATATTTAATTTGGAAGGTTTTTAATACTAAATCACTTGCTAAAATATTGTGGCAGTTAATTACCTCATTAAGGACCCAGAGAAGTGGTAGCTTTCCCCCACCATATACAGCTGAAGCCTTCAGTGATGTCACACAGGAGTACACTTCACTATGCCTTATTGCCACAAAAGCTTACAGCTAGGAGGAGATGCCTGTGCTTTTATTTACTTTGTGAACTGGTAAACTCAGCAGCTTTAAGTGGCTTGGGTGATTGAAGCCAATTAATCATATGCACCTGTATTTCTCTTACTAGGAAGTTGCGAAGAGATTATCCATCCAAAATCCTGATGAATTTGAGCACAGCCCTGCTTTTTCTTAACTTGATCTTCTTACTTGATGGTTGGATTGCATCATTTGACATAGATGGCCTCTGCATCGCTGTAGCTGCACTTTTGCACTTTTTTCTTCTGGCCACCTTTACATGGATGGGACTAGAAGCCGTTCATATGTACATTGCTCTAGTGAAAGTGTTCAACACGTATATAAGGCGATACATACTGAAGTTTTGCATCATTGGCTGGGGTGAGTTCAGTAGATGCAATACTTAAGTAGCATGTATTTTGAAATGATGCTATATAAAAGCTCTCTATCACAAATGCAGAGCAGAATCAAAATCACTGTGGCGTTTCCTTCCTCTCTGCCCCTGGCAGTGCCGGAGTGCAGCCAGCCCTCTCTGTCGTCAAATTCCCCTGTATAATTCTGTACAAACACACCACAACTCGTGCTCTCTGCCCAAAGCAGCACACAGCCAGAGGAGGAGTGGAGAGACCAGATAAACTGGTCTTACTTTCCAGACAGGCCAGAATAGGAGAGTGGAAATGTTGGTGTCGTATGAGAGATGGAAAACCATGGCACACAGTGGATTCAGTAACTCTTGCAGTTACTGCAAAGCCTATGGGGATATTTGCATTGACTTCCAAAAAAGCTTTCAATCCAGCTTCGGGTTTCTTGCCAACAAGTACAAAGCCTATGGTGGAATCAGAAATAACCAAAATATCCTGAGCTTCGGCACAGTGTCTAAACCACAGAGAGATCCTGCCTGCCCTAAGCAGTGTACATAGCAGAACTAAAATGGAGAATGTAATACTGAAAAATAACTGTGAGGCTCAGGCAGCAAGGCTTTTATTCTTCATTTTTTTCTGTATCAGGAATCTGTGCCTTCTGCCTGAATGCACATATTGTGTTTGAAATAATACAACACAATACAAAACCATTAACCTTATGGCTAGGGCACTAACCTCAGTCCAGCTGATAATTGATGTCTTTCCATTGGCAAGTAGCATCCTCTTTGGCAGCCTCAGCAGGGGACAAGGACTGAGTGGTCGGAAAAGCAAATTAACCTCTTCCCCTTTGAATCTGTTTTGTCATAGCAAGGATAAGACAAGTAAATAAGTCATGTCAGGAAATATTTGTTTCTTTTGTGTGAGCTGCACCTCTCTGCACAGAGTTCTCTTCTGCATAGTTGTCTATTTTCCCAAAGCATTCCCTTTACCTTATTATTAAAAATACATAGTTTGCTTCATTTTTGGGGGGATACACTTAAGTAAAAAATATATAATGCTGTAGAAAAAGAGAAAACATTTACAGTTGAAAAGAAGCGGTGGAGAAATTACAAGTTAATGTTCCCCAGTTCCCCAGCCTAATCAAGTGACATTAGCATCTCCGAGGAAAAATCCCTCAAAAAAAGACCCAATACCATACCTCATTTTCGTAATAGTTTGTTAATCTTCTTCTTACTATGTTATGAGAGCCTGTGTGCAATTGCAAATTTAACTTCGGGTAATTAAAGGAGATTATTTTACTTCAGTTTCCATAACATATGCTAAAATAACATTTTTCTGCCTTACAGAACATTATGAGCCTTATTCATTAATGCCCATTAAGTGCTTTGAAAGTTTTATACATTTGCACTGTTTGAAAAATTGTTTCCTTCTCCTTCTCGGTGTAGTTTTCTGACATAGAACTACCTCAGGATACTCTGTACTAAAGAAATAGGGATGGAGACATCAATAATTCAGCTTTGCGTGGTGTTTTTGAAGGTTTAGGAGATTTGAAAACAAGCTGCAAGTTTTCTTGTGTTACAGGTTTGCCAGCTCTGGTGATAGCAATTGTTTTTGCAAGTGCTAATACAAATGCAAGTCATGTTTATGGCAAAGAGTTATATGGGAAAGATGCTAACGGGCAAGGAGGAGATGACTTGTGAGTATTTCTTCTAATCTGTTACAATTTAGCATTTACAGTCTGCAAAAAAAAAAAAAATTAGATTGGTCAGGTTGCTTTGGAAAAGTCAGAGGTGCATTAGACAAGCAAAGTGGGGAAAATAGTCTTCTGAATTATTTTCATTTGAAGTGTAAAGAAAGCAATAAGAAAAACTGGAGGAAAATCTGCATTACCCAATGCCAGGTACAAACATTCCTCTGGCAAAAGACTAATTCATAAGATTTGTCATGGAAATGAAATAAAAATACCTGTTTTGGTTTATCTTAAATGAAAGCTATATATTCTAGGTAAGAGCAAAGAAGGAAGTAGTATAAAAATAGCCAATGCAGCCAATATCTTTCTATGTTCTTCTCTTGATGTCCAAATAATAATCTCCAAATGTCAAAATTTTTATATGACTGTTACCTTGTTTGCTGTTCCTTGCCTGGCAAAGCTTCATTGTGATAAATAAAAATGTCATTCTGTATTTTTATTATAGCATCATGCTAAGCATTCCAGCCATTTGCTGCTAGAGGAATGAGCTAGATTGCTCACATGGCTGACTGTCAAATGGCTACCTCAAAGGACTACCCGTCCTGCTTCTTCTCCAGAGATATATGAGTTCTCCTTTAGCTCAAGTGGCAGAAACTTGAGATTTTGACACCAAAGATCCAAGTTTGCCCATTCTTTTACTAAAACTTCACACAGATGAACGTGGTGAAGCTACTCATACTGACTCTAAACTTTTGATGATGGGATTGAAGTTCCCACAGCTTGTATCTGAGGTCAGATTGCCTTTTTAATTAGTTTTAACTAAAATGCGGTACAACCCTCAGATTTCTGACATGATAATACTAGGGATTGTAGTCACTTAAAATGCCACTGGGCTTCATCCTGTTTACAAACAGAAAGTGGACAAAGGTTTCATTTTAAAGTATAGCTCTGCATCAGTAGTATCAGCCATGATTTTCCTTGTCAAAGAAATAATTGGAGGATAGTTTGCATTATCTAAAAATGATCATATTTTCATGTTTTTTGCAGCTGCTGGATCAGGAATGAAGTTGTCTTTTATGTGACTTGTGCTGGCTACTTTGGAATCATGTTTCTGATGAATGTTGCCATGTTTATTGTGGTGATGGTGCAGATCTGTGGGAGGAATGGGAAAAGAACTAATCGGAGCCTGAAGGAAGAGATCCTGAGGAACCTCCGTAGTGTAGTCAGCCTCACCTTCCTCCTGGGCATGACGTGGGGCTTTGCCTTTTTTGCTTGGGGTCCCTTAACTCTTGCTTTCCTGTACCTCTTCTCAATTTTCAATTCATTGCAAGGTAAGCTGAATTTCTGTTCTGTGAACAAATAATATTTGAGCTGTTGCTGTTTGGAGGATGTATTATGTCCAGTGATTTGACTAGGGAACTCAGATCCAAGCTCTCTAGGTTTTTCCTTGATGCTAAACCATCATTAGTTTCCCCTTATGTGGAATAATGATACCAACTACATATTGGTTGAATATCTTAATTAAATTAATTAATGTTTCAAGATCTTTTCATAAAATGCACTGTATTATAAGTGCTATTATAATATAATTATAATTATTATAATATTATAATATGTGCTATTCCTAGCTAATGGTCTGCAGTGATCTCTGTTGAGATAGATGCTGTATGACCTTCAACATTTCCTTTCACTGATTATAACAAATATAGGAAGCCTCTTTCCTTAATTTATTCCTGTAGAGAATCTGTAAAGCTCGTAACTGTTTTAGTAAGGCATGAGAAGCTCATGAAACGAAATTCAGTCCTGTTTCAGTATGGAGAGATAACACAGAGATGTGGGGTATTCTTTGGTTCTTTAAGGAAAATCCAGCGACTGTTATAGTCAGATTATTTTTGTTTCCTTTGCTGAAGTTTTGAATATTTTACTTTTCCAACGTACTTCATCCTTCTGAAAAATATTGTAATTGTAATTAAATGTTATAAATTACAGAATTATATAGCTGACATTTAAAAGAATTTCAGCTCAGAGCTGAAATTTGCGTAGGTACCAAATGACATAAGAATCTCCACCTCTGCTTGCCCTACCCACTAACAAAGAACAACTAAAAACATAACAAAAAGAAAAATCCAAGAAGGTCATTGGAGGGACATGTGTTATACACATATTGATATTAAAAAAAAAAAAAATGCCTGAAAAAAAAAATAACAAAACCAAACCCAAGAATGTCATTGGAGGAGCGTGTGATATGCCACACAAATATTGAGATAAAAAATAAATTTTCCCAGGGTCAGCAAAATACCTTCCCTTTATGGAAAAAAGTACTTAGTGTTACACTGTGTGGATTTTATCTGTTAAAGTTGAAATGTATTTACTGTGCTAAAAGATTTATGGAGCTTTCGTGGAAAGAGAATAATGTTGTGGGTTTTGGTTTGGTTCAGTTTCAACCTAAAATGCTAGACAAAATGGCAAAAATTGTTTGGATGTGTTGTTCTTACTAAAGAGTTTTTTTCCAAAGGACAGGTTCTGATACTCCCCTAGCAGCATAATGAAGTATTTGTTACAGTGTGTCTGTGTTAGAAATTCAAAAGGGCCTAGAGAGATTAGAAGTATGGGAAGAACATGAAAAAACATTAAAACTCTGAAAAGCATGCCAAGGATCAAATTGAACAAGTTCTCTCTAACCAAAATTTCCAGTGCAATCAATTAAGCTTGTATGTGTAGAGTGCACACAAGGTTGACCACCACTGCTTCAGTCTCTGTGGGGTAATAGCACTGTTCAATGGAAAACAAATATTTGGAATGCAGTTAAGTCAGAAGATGAAACCAAAAAACCTGAGGAGTGAATGCAAAAAGAAGAAGTGATGAGCTTTTCACAGATTGTGGTAGCAGTGATGACATAGTATGTGCTCAGGCATGGCATATGAAGCCCAGGAAGATAACAGTTCTGTATCTGAAAATGCTTATTGCTGTGTCAGAAAGAGCTAGGCAAAGCTAAAGAAACAAAGAAGAGGATGTTTTAAATCGCATATAACTGGTGCATTACAAATGTAGCAGTAAGGGGATGGAATGGAGCAACAAAAAAGTTAGGATTTCTTGGAGGAAGCATTTCCTAGCAGCAAAAAGCAGTTCAGTATGGCAAGTCTTTAATCAGTATTAGCATGAGCTTAATTATCGAGACCTCAGTAAATATGTTTATTTTCTCTCTCAAGTTTTTGAAAACTGCACGAGTATTTTAAGCTATACCATCAGCCTCCATCGGGAGTTTTCTGTGCACTGTGAAAAAGTAAATTGCAGGAACTACTGATGATGTACTTTGCTATTTCATCTACATAGGAAATGATTTTTTGCTCTTTGACGCTCATAGTAAAAAATCTGGGAACATCTTTTTTTTGGCTGCTCATTTTATATATATGCCTGGGCAAGCCAAATACTTTCAAGTCAGAGCCAAGCGAGAGCCAAGCCTAGGGTCTGATTTGGCTCTTGGAAACAAAGCTAAAGCTGCATTACCAAAGCACGTTGTAAACTTAATGAATAATGAAATACAGAGAAAAAAATTTTGGAGACCAAGCCCAGACAGGGCAAAGGCAAAGTACTTAATGCAGTACATTCGGTTTGTATTACTATAGACTTAGGTATTTTCTTTTTTAACCATTCAGAATGTTCCAAACATTCACTACAATTTAATTAAGCATCAATTTAGTAAGTTTGTAGCTGTGCTGAAGTCCTAAGAGGTACTTTGGGCCACAAACACGTATCTCTCAGTCTCTAAGAGGTGGTAGTGATCGCATTGGAATGACTCTGCACTTAAAACAAATCCCACAGAGAAATATTTTACTAAATGCAAACATAGTAACTGTAAGGCAACAGAACTTGCATATGGGGTGCATTAAGGTATGTTTGCCTTTCTTAAATCGTGCTTTTCCTTTTCTTCCCCATCAGCTCTTGAAAAATTTTGCAAAAAAATTTATTTTATGACACAGCCTTTAACTAAAGTCAGCTGATCTCAGTGATCTCAGTCTGGCCTGATGACTATAGGCAAATATAAGTCCAGTTCAATGACGTGCATTCAATGCAAAATTAAACCTCAGCACTTTGGAGGAGAGAGGATAATTTTATGCTCCAGAGCATTTTTTTCCAAGCTATACCCTGCCATTGTGCTCTAGCCACTGAAACGTAGTAGGCATTATATTTGTGATGATCATAAAGGAATGGTTTTAGAGGATGGCACTTAACCACGTTTGCCCACATTATGTAGCATTTATTCATGTTTAAGATATAATCATGTGGGATTTGGCAGTAACATTTTGCCATCAGGTGTTCAGCCTCAGGTTGGCTGTCTCCCAGAGAATAAAAGTAAAACAAGAACAGGCCAAGCCAGAGAACGATGGAAGATTCCACAGACAGTGCCTGCATGGGAAGAGCCAGGAGCATATGAGATTTCCAGCTGCTATATTTAGCTCCAAAGTATCTCTGTAGAATGATGAAATCATACCGTACGCCCAGTTAAGACTTTCTTTACCACATGGTAGATGCTTGTCTTTCGTCTTGAAAATAAAGATTATACAATTGCATGAGAAAAATTAACTCTATAAAAACATACTTAAACACATTTATTGCAGTTGCATGCACAAAGCAGGTAATTTCTTCAGAAGTAAGTAGCTGGACACCTAATTAGTACTTGTAAACATATTCTTAGTGTTTTCATAATAATTTCAAGTACATGCATGTGATGCACATAAATCGAAGTGAGCTTTTTCAGGGCACTATGTAGTGCCAATTACAAGACTTCTGATTTTAAAAGAATACAGCCCAAGTTCTGTAGATATGGAACAGGAGGAGATAAAATATCTTCTTGCTAATATAATAGTGTCTGTGATGACTTTGCAATCTGGCTCTTGCAGTCCTGTTGGATGCAAAATATTAATTTAGTTCAAAGACAAAACCTTTTACTTACTTTACTTTAAGCCAGAAAGAATAATTAAAAGATCCGCACTGAGCTGGATCTAAATCAGTGGTGTCAATAAAAGCGGTCTTATTCTCTCTCTTCTGATATCCCAGACACTTATACAGCAGCTAGAGAATGAGAAAGCTTTAATTAATTTCCATGTCTCTTAAATGAGGCATAGATGGCAATAGGAAAACTTTAAGATGATTTTCTTTTACTTGTGCTTCGTAGCAGATTTTAGTTAATCTGTTTGTTTAAAAACAGATGCTTCATTTGCTGTTTATTTGCTTTTGTCGCAGGTTTATTTATATTTGTATTCCATTGTGCTATGAAAGAAAATGTGCAGAAACAATGGAGGAGACATCTCTGCTGTGGCAGATTCCGACTGGCAGACAATTCAGGTAAAAGAAATTCACAGCTCCCCTCCTTAGATGCTGCAGTAGTCCATAAAAGTCCAGGTGAACAGCTTGCTATGTTATTTTTAATACAATACGATGTAAGTCAGAGTTGCAGAAAAATAGATTAATCATAGGCTGTCTCTTCACTTGAGTACTAACAATTGCCAAGGGACTTTTCAGATATCACTTCATAAAAATTCTCAAGTCTTCTATTTCAGTTTTCCACTGAAGGCAGCTGGTAAATTTTGTAGTGCTTTGAGAATAGTTTTGGAAGGCCCTCTGGACCCTGGGGAAAAAAAAAAAAAAAAAAAAAAAAAAAAATTAAATAAAGATCCAAAGATTGGAACTCTGTCATTCAAAACCCTATCTTATTCCTTTTCTCCTACATTAAAGTATGTTGACTGAATTGTGTGGACTGTGAGGTTGATGTAGGAGCAATTCTTAAAAGGCAGAATGGAAATACTCCGCAGTCTTTTGCCTTTGTCTTTGCCTTTTCAGACTGGTCTGTTCTTCACCATATAATTCAGAGAGACCATTAGCGACTCAGAAACATAGGAAATCCCTTTAGCAGAAGTCTGGTTAGGTTCCGGAATTGAAGTTGGTCTTTATCTGTGACTCTCAGAGAGAAAGGAGAGCAGTTGGTTTGGACACTTTGAAGTGCAACGCTTGGGACACTGTGTTTATAGTCTCCTGCACCTTTGGCCATCTCAGATGGCATTAGACTCCTCATTAGGCAACTGGATTTTGGGTTGCTTTGTGATGTAACTATTTTGGACCGTATGATTCTTGCTTATACGGTTCTTGCTCAATGACCAGGGTTAAAATCTACAGTTGATGTAAGGTGGCATGAACTCATTGCCTAGTAAGGTAAGCCAGTCTATCTCGGACAGTGAGATACTCTAGCATCCTTTCTCTCTTGGCATCCAAGGTTTGTTTCAAGGTTTTAAGTAACTGCTTTGCCATCAAAACTTTTGCTTTGTCTTTGCTCTGTTTTGTTTAGAGAATACTTTCTCATTGTACACTATAAAACATTTATGCTTTCACTTTGTAGTAAGAAAACCTGATTCGTGATTTCAAAGAGTTAATACAAATTAGGAAAAACGTATTCATTCAGATCAGGCCTCCAGATTGTTTCATATGTTCAGTTTCCATGTGGTTCATGCTGTAACTCCTGAACTGGAAAACACAGATGGATCAAATTATTTCCAGATTTTTATGCTGCTGTTGGGCAGCTTGTGGGTATGATAGAAATAAGAACCTGAAGGGTTTGAGTACTTCAGTGGTATGGTTAATGTGCTGTCATTATGCCTAGCGTTAACCAGTCCATCACCACCAGCTGATTTTATTTTCCATGAATCTGACGCAGTTTGCTGGCAGAACAGTGAAATATAAGCCAAATGCGAACTTGCTTACCTATCCAATTGAAGTGTACTTTAGGGCATGCTATGATAAAGCAAAGAAAAACAAGCCAAAGCCTTGCAACACTGCCATAGCTAGATCAGAGAACTAGTGATCTATACCCTATAGCAATGATTTAGGATAAAATCCTTGTCTTGATTTAAATCAAGGCTAAAGTGGCCCATGTGTCTTTGGTTTGGATATCTCTTCCGTTTTGTGAATTGCATTGCAATACAGTGAATAATGGCAAGACTGAAGTGTGAAACTACCTGTACCTATCTGCAAGTATTTGATACAAAAGTAGTTAGATACATTTATTCTACTGGTATTGGGACACTTGTGATGAGTTTTTCAGTGTCAGTTTTCCTCAATAAGTTTGTTGGTATTAGTTATTTAATTTAATTTTGGAAGTTGTTCCAGTATAAGAACCTATTGTGTTAATAGTTCAGACAAAACTCCGAAAATGTGAACTACTGAATAGCCATTATTATTCATTGTTATTATTAGTGCATCAACGTGTAAACCCTCTAACAACAAGTGGAAATTCCACTAGTATGTAGTATCTACTCAGCAGATCAAGCCCCCAAACAATAAGACCTCTATAAATGCTGCTATCCCTCCCTTTGCTAGCCACCCGTTTGGATTTCTGTCTTGAGGTGATGAAACTTTGGCATCCCTCTACTGCTACAGATCTTCACTGCTCTCCTGCATTCTGGCAAGGATCTTACAGTTCTGTCATCCAGCAAAATGATTGTTAGAGCGTTAGAGTCACTGACTTTATCTACTGTGGTAAACAAGAAAATAAGTCAAATTGGAACAATTCTTGTGTTTCTTAAAGAGGTTACCTGACAGGAAAAGGATAGGCTGTTTCCTATAAGCAATATTAAGAAATGCATCTGATACCTGAAACGTTCATAACGGAATAAATTTGGCATTTAGTACCTATAGTAATTATTTATATAAAACTTTTCAATCATTTTTAGATTGGAGCAAAACAGCAACCAATATTATAAAGAAGAGTTCTGATAATCTTGGGAAATCCTTATCCTCAAGTTCAATCGGCTCAAATTCAACCTACTTAACATCCAAATCAAAATCTACAACAAATACGTATTGCAAACGAAACAGCCATACAGGTGAGTTCTTGCACTGTAACACTGCATCTGTAAATATGTAGTTTCATGTTAAAGGTACCGTAAGGATTTCTACCCAAAGGTCAACATGAGAAAATGTCACTAATTTATATAGTTTCAGTATTTTTAAAATATATGTTACTGTTTAGTAGGTATCTTAACCTAATATACAATATATCCAATATATAGTTCTGATCTCAGAATGTTCCCATACTAAACAAAGTAGACGTGACAAAAGCAAATCCTGCTTTTTCTATAGCACTTTCACCTTTTTGGCTAAAAGAAGGTGAGTCTTATTATCCCATTGTAATGACAGAGTAGCCAAAGCACAGAGAAATTACTTTTATCAACCAAGGTAACATGACAGCTAGCAGCACAGCTGGAAATAGGAATCAAGTCTTCTGAATCCAAGTCCACAGCTGATTCAGTTGTTCAAACTGCTTCCATTTAACTGTAACATATTTATGGGTAAAATGACAAATGGAGGCTACTTGGAAATGGATACTGTGTTCCCAGACTATGTATTGTCTTTCTCTTCTACAAATAGCATGCCATATCTACCGCTTATTTATTTAGATGTCAGTGGTGTATATAATAAAAGGGATCATCTGTATTCCACTCATGCCATAAAAATATGCTCATTTTAAGAACACTTTAAAGGAGCACAAAAAGAGAGGGGATGGAGTGATTTGCAAGTGTGTTTGCTTATGTCTGAGATAATATTTCAGAAAATCACTTACATAGTTCAGATTTTTTTGTTACTGGGTTTTTCTGAACTCATGTTTTTATACTGTATAAAGTCACGTAACGTTATTGCAGAATTCTCTTCTAAACTGTAGCAGAAATAAAGTCTGCAAACGTTTAACCCAAAGATTTATTTTCTTGCTTTAAAATATTTGCTAGAAGCAATGTTTTAGATATGAAATAGATGATTTTACCAGAAGGAAATGTCTATTGTTTCCTAAGAATAAATTATTTTCAGAAGCCCCAAGGTCTCATTTATGATGGTACAGTCTTGTTTCTTGATATGTGGCATAGTTCCAAGGAAATACCTTCCTGTTTTTATTGATGATCATTACTTCGTTCAGTTAGGCACAAAATTTTTGCCTAGAAATCCCGTTTTTTAAAAATTACATTGTTATTTTCTTGTTAACGAATATCCAGTGCATCTATTAGCATGAGGGGTTGTGCATCAGGTATTTTAAGAGTGTAAATCTTTTTTTGGTTATCAAGAATGTGCATGAACTACATTTGCTTTGAATACAGCAAAAATGAGCAGTATCTTAGAAATTCCCCAGTGTAGCTGAGCCTGCTCTCAGGACTGCCATTCACAGCCACACTGGGAACACACAGCTGGCGCCTGCCTCACCAGGGTGCCTGTCCCTGCTGCCATCTCAGGTTGGATGTGTCATGCACCCAGCTGCCCTGAGCAAGCTGTCTTCAGCTTGCTGTCCTATGAAGGAACACTTCTGTCAACAGTCTTGCATGAACAACGTCTGTGATAGCCACCAATCACAGTGCTAGTGATTTGATGGTAGTGGAGGAGAGCATCATGACGTTTCCGCTGCAGAGCATTCTTCATTCTGCAGACATAGAATTCCCATTTGTACTCATGGCAGATCAACCTTTAGACACTTGGTATTGGGATTAATGATAAAAATATGCTTAAATGTTTTGTCAGACTCAGGGTTTTTTATCAGTCCGACAATTAAAGAAACTTAGTGCTGGAGTTTTTGCAATGCGCTCTTGAAGCAAGACAGTAAAACAATTCCAGATAAGAAGCCATTTAAAAGAAACTTGCTGTTAAGAACATGCTCATGTACTTTCTTCAAAAGTAGTGGACTTAATCCCATGCATAAATTATTTGCTAAATTTGTAATGTGATGGTTTATTGGACATTAAGGAATACCACAGTTTTCTCTACATTTTTAAAATTTTAACACATTTTGCTTTGACCTCTGAAAATACACATTTAACTGTGATACTCCAAAAAAATTTTTGCTAATGTTAAAATAATGGAAAATAAAATCAAGATTCTGATTTTTAATGCAGCTAAACTTCTCAGTTTGATGACTTATATAAATTGCAAGCAAATGATGTAATAACTACATTGTCTTAACAATACTACAACTCTTGTTAATATGGTTATAATGTGCTCCCTGGAATTGACACAAGCATTCATGTGTTTGTGGTATAGATAATGTCTTCTAAGGCCCTTTCCTCATCAGTGGTGGAGCATTACAGGTAAAGTGAGAATTGCTTTTGTTGAATGCATGGTTTGAACAGGGTGGAGGGATGCCACTTGCATGATGTCCTCATTGACACAAAGGACTTTGCTAATCAGAAACGCTGCTTGTTTCTCACTATTACATCTTGCGCCATTGATGCTGAATCAAAGGATAAGTGTGCTTCAAACTCTGGGTGTCCGCTCTCTGCATGAGGCATGAAGCATTTGGAAGGTACCATTTTAGAAAACAGACCATGTCCTGACAGTAATGCCTGTGCACAGTAGTCTGGGGAAAGGAGATTAAGTTGAAACTGCCATATAAAGCATACATTAAAAAGCAAAACCAATCTGATTGAGTCCTAAAAAGTATTTTAGTATTTTCAAAAGTTATTACAGGGATTTTAAGATACTGTATTTCTATTTACTCTGTGGCCATTATGGAATTAGTCTTCTAGCTATTGTTTTTTCATATCCGGTCACACCCAAAATAACTCTGAATGACAAACCATATATGCCTGAAGGCCGTGCTGTGAACTGCTGGTTGACTGCAGAATGCACCGATTGGGACACAAATATTGGGTGGACCCTACTGAGTGGACAAAAGAAATCACTTTGGCATCTTGTGGCCCTGCAGTCTACGAGTCTGAAACAGGCTCGTTGTAGATAGTACTTGAATACCATATATAATACTCGTATGAATTAGAAGTTAAAATTATTTCTGCAGAGAATTTGGTGGTTCAGCTCCCATTTACTCAAGTGATACAGGATTTTAACCCTGTACTTAGGTGTGAAGCACATTGAGCTAAAAAAAAGGAGGGCCCCACTGGTTTCAAAGACCTTACATAATTCCTGTGCATGCAAATTTCGTGAGGAAATAGCTGGTGTTTAACAATGTACTGATGCCTTGTGAAAAGAAGTGTACATATTT